AAGAAAGTGTCGTGATTTTTTGAAAACCGTTTTTTCCCCACTTCCTTACTTGTTCACCTCTCCTTTTAGAAAGAAAGCACGAAGGTAAAGATAAAACAAGAGAAAAAATCTCCTTATCTCTCATTACGTATTCGTCATTCAAAAAGCAATTTATTATTAATATAATGTTATTTTCAATCAAGCCTAGGGGCTAATTATTTTTAAGAAATATTGTTTTAAGCCGATTCAGTTCATTGTCACAATATCGGCTAGTCTTATGCTCCGAATAATCATAGATTTTAAAACTCCAACCTTTGTTTTATAACTATGATTGGAGAAGAATTTAGGTATAAAGCCAGCATGCGCTTCTTCTCTATCTCCATCGTCAACTTAACATTGCAGTCAATCTGGTAAATTATAAACAATAAATTATCTAAACTATCCTTACCATGCTGCCATATGGCAAAGTAGTCATCCATATACTTAACTATGGTACAGATTGGGGGAGAAGCCTCCTTGACTTAGGAATATCTTTTTGGTCGGATTATAACTCAGGAGGGTCTCAAAACTGCCCTGTTGTGAAGGTATACACGCTGGCCTCGGTGATGATTCTTTCTCCTGACGAATTCAGCATTCGCCAAGAGAGCAGTAGTGCCAGCTGGCTGAAAAAGCCCGGCTAAAGTATAGTCGGGGGAAACGCGACCATCAGACAAGCAGCCCTCTGCCTCCTCTTGGGCAATCTGTACTTCGTCAGAGGGTCTACGAGTGAAATCTAAGCTCGATTTGGACCAAAGGTCTCGATTCGGCACATCTTACTATCTCGCTCGCGGATCATTTAGTCGGTTATTGGGAAAAAGGAGAGCATTCAAGCTCTTCATTATGCCTTTCTGATAGCCAGCAAAAGAAAACTAAATGTAAATATTATAAACTCACTAATGTTAGAATCTCTTTTTATTTTAATATAGTATAATAGGTATTCCCAAAAAAGGATCTGGCCTCTAGGCTGCCCCAGGAAAATTGATTTTAAGACAAGCATTCGGAAATTTCTTCAAAAGGTAGAAAGTCTTTGGGAGCAGTTTGTCCTTAATTTACATCATCTTTATTTCACGAATGTGCACATTTCGGTGGCTAGGCCCGGGGTCGATTATCCCTACACACTAGAAGTACATGGAAAGGCATAGATGCTAAGGGGTATGAATCTTTTTCATATAAAGAGTTAACCATAATAAGCTAGCGAAAAGGGATTTTTGCGATTCCCTATCAGAAGAGATGGCTCATCAAATGGCCAAAAAAGTTAATCCATCATGCATGAGTTTATGATTCAATAAGAAAGCAGAAGCCTGGTCTTAGTGTACAATTTATCTAAAAGACTTTGCAAGAAATAAGGAAAGTTTCTGTAATCATCAGCATATGTTTTTGTATGGATATATTTGTTTGTTTGTCTATTAGTCAGTTCTCCTGTCTGCCTATTTGTCCGTCCGTTTCTATGTCTGTCTAACTATCTCTCAG